ACAAATGTGAGCTTGTTAAGCATGCTATCATCAGCATTTACTTCAATACGCTGCTGTACCAACAGCCTCACATGGCTGCTAGCATGGCCATAGACTCTTGGTCTTTTTTATTAACAGTAAACACTGTGAAAATTACTTTTGATGACACTTTTTAACAATAATGATGGAGTTACCTCCAAGTTAGTAAATATTTTTTCAGACCAACTTGAAAAATCCCAAAACTATCTTTTAACATGTTTGCAACTAATAGATTAGCAAAAAAAAAAAAACATTTTAGCAGCTTCATTCAATTTTTCCACTGTTTATGAACAACTTACAAGGTTTTGGTCAAAACTGATGAGTTTAATAGAAAATGATGTTATACCAGAGGCAAAGTCAGAAGTGAATAGTGATCATTTTCACATTTCCCTCTGTAGTTGACATGTTTGGAAGTCATTCTGTAGCAAATCATTATCACTTGATTATAACACCATGGAAATCTTATAATAATGACTACATATGGGCATTACAAACATGATACGAGTCCATGAGAAGAAAAGGAAGCAGATATCTTAACATTTTCATTTCTGTTTTACCTGGCATTTATTACATCTTGGGCATCTATTGTGTTCGAGAAGCTTTTCAGAAAACCTGCTAGCCTCTAACTAGCAGCACAAATCACAGCTTCCTAGTGAAAGAAAATAGCCGACTTGAGTTTTCAAAAGCATACACTATACATAACAAGAACCACACTGATACAGCAATTAATATTGTTAATAATATTCGTATTCCTTATATCATAATTAAACACTAAAATGCAGCCAGACACAAAGCTTCAGGCTGACAAGTTCATCAGAAAGAAAAAAATCAAAGTGACATGCAAAGGTTCTCTTTGTCCTCCTTATCTTCATTGTCCCCATCTTCATTGCCATCATCAGTGCATTGCAGTTATTAAAAAATAAGCTTTTTGTTCATAGTTTTCTATCTACCTCACAGCAGTGAGAGCTCCTATTGGCTCAGGTTCAGTATCAGCAGCTGCCATTGGCTGAGCATAGAAAGCTCTGATTGGTTCTCAGTCTGTGTGGCACATCATCCATTTGGCTTCAGAACTCATATAACAAGACTATATGCATGTGTGCGTGCAAAAAAGTGTTTATCTGTTATGATAATGAATGTCAGTATGCAATGATATCCCTTATATGTGATTTATCTTTTAAAAGTTTATCTGTGTTCACGTTGCTGTACTGACCTATAGACAGGGATGGGCAGTATTTCTCTGAAGTGTTTGAAGTATTACTTTATATAAACACATTGTTAAAGGGGCACTTCACCAATTTAATCCTCCTCAGCATATGACAATGTAACCCGGGTAACCCAAGTTATCAGGGAAAAGGATTTGTAAATATTGAAAAAGCCATTGTGTGATTTATATGCCGCATGTGCTACTTATTTAGTGAATGTATTTGCATTACATATTAATGCCTGTTCTGCCTTGTGTTTTTACAAGGCTGGGTTTTGTGTGAGGTTGGATCCAGCGGATTCACATTGGACACACGGGTCGTAACTGATGTATGGCGAGCCACTCGAGCTGTTTTGTGTACTGAACAGCTTTGAACCATCGAACTGGTAGGAGGATTCCTTTTTCCGTGCTCTTGGATAAGCGGGACTTGGACTTGTTGGGATCTGGTTACTTTAATTTTTTTGTTACCACAATGTCTCAAGGGAAGGACCCCGGTTTGGACTTTCCTGGAAGGAAGCAGCAGTTTTGAGTTCAGTCATTCGATCTATGACCTCAGGTTTATTGGCTCAAGCGATTAATTTCCCTTACCCACACTTAACTTAAAGGGAAAGTGATTTAAGTGTGATTGGAGATAACTTGGAACATAATTTTGTATACTAAATTGCTTTTGATTGTTCTTCTGTGTATTCAAAACATTGATTATAGTATTTTGGTTGAACCCAATGTCAACTCCATTAATTTTATTGAGATGCAGTGTTAGTTTGTCATAAGAGATCAATTTTGTTCTGTGCACATGTTTATGGAAATGCATCTCTATTTTGAGTTGTAAGAGGGCAAACAAAAGTGAATGTTATACTGTTTATCATTTAATTAACTCTTTATATAAATCAGAAAAAAAGCAACAAGACTCTTCTCTGGTTATTCACCCATTTGCACTGCCCTCCTCTCTCTAGTAGCCGCTCCTCTCTTCTGATCAACTGGCCCATACTGGATGTTATGCGAGAGTAATGCACTAAGCCTGCTATACGCTACAACAACAATTGTGTAATATCATTGCTTGCTCCTGAAGCAGCACTGTCAAGTCTGAGAAAACAACCCTGATGATGTCATAGTAGTGTCATAGTTATCTTGTGACTGGAGACTACAAATTTATTTCAGAAACATGTACATCTGCAAATTTATTTTAATCTTGAGAGATAAAAACAGGCTTCGGTGGGTACTATTAACATAGACATTTTGGCTCCATTTCAAACACATTTAGTCATGTGCCTGAAAGGTATGTGATGTGCATTTTTAAAAAGTCATGACATTTGAATACATAAACTACAATGTAAACAAGTATGGGTATTAGTAAATCATGCAAATGAACACTATAAACTTCTTGACAGGTGCCATGTTGTGTGTAGTTTTGTGACAAAACTATTCATGACCAGATCACTACATATCTGGTGTATGTACATGTCTGTCTCCTTGCTCCTTTAAAAAACATTCACCCGAATAATGATTTGCGAAGTATAACAGTCTTATTATTAGATCTTAGTGCAGAATTTGATACGGTCATGAATTACTTCTAGATAGATTGGTAAATAGGGTCGGACTATTGGGAATGGTCCTCAAGCAGCTTAGATCATATTTAGCAAACAGGGGATGTGTATTCATTATTGGTAATTGTGAATCTGAAAGAAGTGCCATGAAGTACGGTGTCCCACAAGAGTTGATTCCTGGGCTCCTCCTAATCAACCTGTAAATGCTTCTCCTTTTTCAAAATTTACAGGAATATAGGGTTGCTTATCATAGCTATGCAGATGACACCCAGATCTGTCTAGTCTGTCTGTCACTTTTGGCTGTTCCCGTTAGGGGTCCCCACAGCGAATCGTCAGTGTGACGATTTGCATTTTGACATTTGGCACGTTTTACGCCGGATGCCCTTCCTGCTGCAACCCTGAATCGAACTCGGACCACAGCGGCAAGAGCCTGGTCAGTCTGGTGCTCTCACTAAATGACTATGGTCTTAGAGACTTGTTAATCTCTATGCCTTAACAAAGTGAACAACTAAATGTAACCAAATTCTCTTCAACTAAACAAAGACAAAACAGAAAAAAATCTATTTGGAAATAAAGAAAGAAGGCTGTGATTACCTTGAGTCCAAAGCACTAAAGACTAAAACCTCTGTCAGGAATCTTGTTGTAATCATTAATGAGGATCTAAAGTTTAATGGCCACATCAAAGCTGAAACCACATCATCATTCTTGCATCTTAAGAACATAGCTAAAATGAGAAACTTTGTCTAAGCTCATTCATGCTTTTGTTTCTAGTAGGGTAGACCACTGTAGTGCACTCCTGAGTAACCTCCCCAACAAGACCATCATACAACTGAAACTTATTCAAAATGCTGCTGCTAGAATACTGACAAACACCAAGGCAAGAGAACACGTTACTCCAGTCCTTAGATCTTTGCTCTGGCTTCCAGTTAAATACAAAATTCAACTTAGGGTCTTACTCATGGTCTACAAGTCTCTCAATGGTCTGGGACCAAAACACATCAGAGCTATGTATGTATGTTTGCTGAGTAGATGTCTCGGTACTGCAGGGACTGGTCAGCTAGTGGTGCCCAGAGTTCAAACTAAACAGGGTGAAAGTGCTTTTAGCCATTATGCTGCCCACAGCTGGAAGCAGCTCCTATTAGACCTTAGATCTGCCCCAACTGGAGCCTCGTTTAAAACTATGATAAAAATGATCCTGCTTTCCACTGCTTTTAATCAATATCTTTTCATTTTATAATTTATCTACTTTTTTCTTTCTTCTAATTGTTTAATTGGCATTGCAATATTTTTATTTATGCACTTTTAAAACACTTTGAATTGCCTCTATGTATGAAGATAAACTTGCCTTGCCTTGCTCTTCTTCTCCCTTGTTATTGCTCTGGTCAAATAGTATGCACAGAACAATAACTAATATCTAGGTTAGCAGCCAGTGGTTTAAAATACTGACAATAACGGATGCATTTCAAGCATGTTTCAGTCCTTCATTACAAATGCACTTATATTTTAATAAATACAGAGCTTGCCACATATGTTTACGCTTCAAGTCTATTTTCTTTCAATGCAGCAGCATTAAATACAGAGACTGTGTGCTGGGCTGTGAGTGCTGCCAGTACACTTCAGTGTACCGCTGTGATGCTTTCACTGCAAGGATGGAGCAGACAAGTCACTGCCATTTAAAATCTTTTGCCTACAGACAGCTACAGAGACAAAGCATCTGAGCACATCAATAATATATTACACAATATGACAGTGTTGATGGCAACTACAGGACTAGTACAAAAAAGAAAATTTAGTTTAAACTTACCTAAGAGTTCTGTTTGGTCTGATTTTACAGACACAAATTATGAGTACTGAATCTTTATGATCAATCTTGTATGAACCCCACTGATACTGCCAAATTTGAAATTCAAAGTCTACTTGAAACTCAAAGCTACAGACAGGTGACAAATTAAAGGAAAACCTAATATAAAATGTCTTAGTAAATTAGTCTGGCCACCAGAACAGCTTCAGTGCTCCTGGACAATGACTCTCCAAAGCCCTCATGCGGTGTTTTGATGAAGGTGGTGGAGACGTTGCTCCAACATCTCCCATAGCTGTTTAACTGGGTTGCAATCTGGTGACTGTGAAGACCACATCATATGATTCATGTCATTTTCATTCTCATCAAATCAATCAGTGACCCCTCGTGTCCTGTGGATGGTGGACACTGGAGGGAAACCACAGTTTTATTCATGTTCTTTCATTTAATTCGTCACCTGTCTGTATATTTTTGCTTTATCTCATCCAATGCAAACTGTTCGATCACCAGCTTAATGCTACACTGTCTCTTTGCTCGTCCACCCCAGAGCATTTTGTAACTACTTACAGCATGACACACACAGATGCAAATTACTAGCACAGTCAGAGAGAGAAAGAGAGAAAGTTCTTGTAAATTACATTTGAAAATAACCACACCTGCACCTGACCTGAGACTGAAGCTTTACACAACAAAATGCTCTGAAACTGACCTGAAACCAGGTACACATGCGGGACGTGTCTTGTCTCAGTAAGACAGTTGAAGTCAACATCAAATTGATTGATGCCCTACAAGCTGGGCATAACCTGACAATGTCACCACAGTTAATATCTACTTAAAGTTTGTACATCTTTATGGTAATAACAGGATACTGTATAAATTGTAAGCACAATTGTTTCACCAAGAACCAAGTGCAAATTGATTGAGTATATTCATGTCTGAATAGTTGGTGCTGTTAATGCTTGTATTTGAACATGTCATCTATGAGTGGTGTGGAACATGTCATGAAAGCCACTAATTGCTGATTTCTACATATATTTGGTGTTTTTCGAACTGTTGCAATGGCTTTTGTTTTTGATTGTAGAAAATTTAGTTCATCCCAGTAAAAACCAGTGCAGTCTATGTGTTGGTTTCAACCCAGTCAATCTCAGTGTCTCCAGGTTGCATTTGTTTGGTGTTTTTTGATGCCACCACTAGGCGTCGACAAAGGCAGAAATGTTTAGGTTCTCTACAAAGGAACTTTAAAAGAACTAGTGATTATTTTGTATCAGCATACATGTTCACAATACACACATACACAAACTCTGCCCGTCCCTGTGTATAGTGCACGTGTACTTAAACTGTTGTGTGTGAGAGAGAGAGTCCATGCATCTCTTGGGCCTGGTAAAAGTTAAAAGTCTCTACTAATTAGGGATTTTCAGGCAAAAATAAGAAAAACAATTAGGAATAATAACATCATTATCTGTGATCACAATTACTATTATCTAATGGATGTGATTTTTCAGGACATCGGTATTTGTTCATAGCGCTCCAAGATTCTGCTTTTGTACTCACAATTCCTTATCACATCCCTGATTAATGTTGTTATTGCGTTAACATCAGCATCACTGTTGTCCTTGTTTTCTATACAAGAGGTGCCTCCATGGCAAAAAAACTACAAAACAATGATCTGTGTTTGTTTAGAAAACGGTCCACTGTGCTTGATTGTTTTTCGTGAATTTGTAAATGACCAGCTATTTTTCTCGCTGATAGTCAAGTGATTCACTCCGTAGGTGGGCAGGTCTTTGCTGAAGCCTGACAGCCAAGGGGTGGGAGGACAACATCTGGCCAGTCTTTTTAGGCTAGATTTTAAAGACCAAGATCAAGAATCCTTAGAGAGACATGGTTGGCTAAACTCCAGATTGAAAATTGGGGCAGATCACCCACGGTGAGTGGTAATTTGTCACCAAAGGAGATGACAAGCATTTCCATTCACCATCGGGGGGAAGGAACAATGGGTGTCGATTGGCCTTAAGGCACTGGCTTGGGCCTGGTCAGGAAAGATCAGTCATGCTGAGGCTCATGGGTAGTCCTGGACGGAGGTAAGCCAATGGGACGCGGCCATTCTCACCGGCCAATCCTGTGATGGACAGACGGGCTTTGGAGCGCATTGCCTCAGTGAATTTTATCTGCACAGGAAAAAGAAACATATTAATCATCTTTCAATCATTAACCCCACAACCAAAACCATGTAGACAGCCACTGCTTATTTTGGAATTTTCTTTGCCTTCTTTCTGAGAGCAACATGAAAAGATTGATAGTCATCTCATGTCTTAAACAAATATAAAAATGGCAATTTGTGGTTTCTGATGAAGTCACAGTACTTGCTGCTAAGGACCTGCTCTGTTTCATTCAGATGACAAAGCCTTGCAGAGTACTTGCAGCCAGCTGTTGACAAAATTCCAGTGTGTACATGCCCCTAAAACTACACATTTTGTGTTTTTTATATTTGTGTGTGGAAACCAATTATGTGCATGTGTTAATTAGTGAGCTTTACAGGTACAGTACGTTTATTATTCTCCCTGTTTACAGTCTTTGTGCTGGACTAACCATGCCCGAACTCCAGCCCTGTAGTTAACACATAGACATGAGACATACTGTATAATATATATCCATCTTAACATCTCAATCCCAGGAAGAATGCATGAAACCATATTTTCAGACCACACTATAAATGCAGTGGTCAAAGTGTTAATTATTTTATTACTGGATTTTTGCCACCAGAGTTCCAATTGACTTATTTTTTGTGATACACTGTTGCTATGACCTGTGTGGTCACATGTCAGTGTCATCTGGTTTGACTGAATGTTTCATTACATATTTTTGGACTTTCATTAGTACTATCAGAATTGTTCTGTATTTGAATTACATAGTTCCCAGTGTGTGAAAACAGATTTTTGCAAAGACAGTTAAACTTCATTTACATATACCTTCACAAACATCGAGATTGAGACCCTCTGCTAAACCTCAGTCAGACCAAAACATTGACATGTTGTTGCTCAGACCCACAATGGAGGTCCATCTGAATGAGTAAACACACAATAGCCCACCCTCTGTCATGACCCTCCTCCTGACCAGGCTTGGTTGGATGCTGCCTAGCTTTAGTGACATGAAATGCTATCAGGACTTGAAAATAATGCATTGATAACATATGGGGAGATAGAGGTAGAGGGAGAGATTAAGATGAAGAAATGAGATGAACTGTGCATAAGGACAGACAGAGAGGTGAAGTTAATTGTTATCTGTTAATTATTTGATGTAATTCTGTGGTTTGTCGGTGAAGTGTATGAAAATATAGTGCAGACTGAGACCTCTTGCTAAGAGTAAAAACAAAGTGACAGCTGCCAACGGGGACTGAATATGATGCTCACTGGCTGTCTGAAAGGGGTATTGCTCATAGGTCTAAGGTCAGTTAGGGGGAATATTGCAAATCAATCACCATTTTAATAGAAACATTGCCTTTTAAAGGATTTTTGCATTAGTGTACTAAAGTACCTTGATTTTCAAGTGGATCTGCAAACATAATTCTTGTAATTAAATACAAAATGATGCAATATTTTATCTATAGTACTTAACTCACTCCTTTTGTTACTCTTTGCAGTGTGGTAATCACAAAGTTTATTTCCATTTTTTACAACTATTCAAAAAATACATGTAACCTTAGTATATTTAATTCAGTGGGAGATTGTGTCCAGAGTTTTCACTGGTAGTGTGTATATACACCTGCGTGTATATACAGAGGGAGAGAGAGCAAGAAAGTGTGAAGAAGAGAGAAATGTAAATGTAAATTACTTTTAAATCTACAACAATATTTCCAGAAGCCATCAACGCAGCAAGTCATACTGCTGCATTCTGTAATGAATGAATGGACAGTGTGTGTAAACTAGGTTGTGTTTGTATGTTGCAGTACAGTTACAGGCCTAAAGTGTGGCAAGACATCTGAGGTAACACTGAGGAAGAAATAG